TTCATGGGGTCACGAAGAGTCGGACACGACTTAACGACTAAACAACAACAACAACAATGTCTGCATTCCAACCATCAGTCATGTTGTCAGGGTTACAGTATTGTTATTCGTAGGATATACACTGGAAACCAACTTTGATGTAACTTCCTTTATAATGAACTAGCCTGGCCTACACATCGAATAATATAGACAGGCCAAAACAGTTCTGTTTTAGCAAAGAGGAGAGATGGCTGGGTTTTTTAAAACAAAAAACAGGCACTCAACTTCGAAAATGAACAATGATGTATCGACATGAAATTAGAAGCTTGCCTCCTTTTTAAAGCAGAGGTCAGCTTGTCCCTTTCCTTGGGCCAGTACATTTCCTATATTCTCGTGTCAAGCATTTTATTTATATATTTATACATTTGGTTTATTGCCAACTTTTCTGTCCGAGAAGAATGGTCAAAGTGGCTTCCAACATATACGTATACTTAGATACCTAAACAGAAAACAGTAAAGCCAGCAGAGTTAAAGTATAATAATAATAATAACAACTATTTAATTCTCTAAAGCCTGAGAATGGGGACCAGACACGAACCATGAGTGATGGCATTCCATAAGTTGGAAGTGAAGCAGAAGAAGTTCCTCTCCTGTGTGTATGACATTTGGGGCTTTCCTGCAGATCCTAATAGGTGGGCAGGTATATAAGAAGAAAGGCAGTCTCTTAGATACAGATAAACTCTAAATTGTTTAGAGTTTTAAAGGTTAAAACCAAAACCTTAATTTGTCTCCAGATAGGATTAGCAACCAGCGGAGGCCTTTCAGTGCAGGCATAATGTGATCCCGGCATCATGCACCAATTAGCAAATGTGTTATCTTGTTTTGCATCTTTTGCAGCTTCTAAAACAGAGTAGAGCTATGGGGAGTGATTGTGGGGAGGCTGGGAAAGGAACAGGAGAGAGGACATTTAGGATAACAGGCGAGTCAATTGATAGCTTATCTCATAAACTGCAACTTACCCCAGGTGGAAAGGAATCTGGGAAGAAGCGTTTCAGATCATTCAAAGAGACTCCAGTTAATTGATTAACAATAAATGAGGCTGGGAAACTCTTCGTACAATTTCCAAAGCTGTTTATTTACCCCAATTAACATTAAGAATATCTTGCTGAAATCTGCGTGATTCTTGCTTCCCTAGTCTTGCCCAGCTTCATGAGGGCTTGACACCTACGTCTTGTGGTAGTTTAATAATAATGTACTCAAGACATAAATAACTCTTACCAGGTGTGACCAGCTCAGAACTGGGGCAAGTGGTGCGCTTAAGTGTGCAAAGAGACTCCTTGCCATTATCACTCTCCAAACAGCAAGTGGTTGAAGGAGATTTCCCGGTGTTGGCTCTCCTCTTTCAGAAGAGAGGCCCACCACTTCAGGTCTTCTTTCCAACTGATAACATGGTAGCTGTGTCTTCTTTTGATTTGATTTCAGCTTGTTAATTCCCATGAGCAGAGTTGGGATTCTTAGTGGAGGTGCTGGCGATGGTATGACGAGTCAGAGCGTAATAAGCAACAGGAGATCTCTGGAGAGTTTGCTAATGCAACCATATGGCTTTCTATCTGCTTTAACTTACGTTGATGTTGCCCTCTCTTGTAAAAACCACTGCAGGGTACAGGCATGTTATGGACTCATTAGAAGCAATAAAAAGTCAGACTCCCTTCCTAGGGACACAACAGAGTCATCCATGCAATTTTTCTCGCAACAGTAGGGCATTGGTTTGTGTGCTCTGTAATTTTTGAGGGGCTCTGTTGGCTTAGCAAATGTTTCTGTCTTTTTCTACTTTTTCTTTTAAAGCAGGCTAGTACTCTCACTCTCCTATCTGTCTCTCATGTTCTGCTTTTACGTAAAGCGGTTTGGGGTGCTCCAGGAATGGACTGAGCATTAAAAATTAAAGCAAGTGCAGACGGATTTGCACATGTGTGATTTCTGTATCCTGCTGCTGTTGCGTAATCTCCTCTCCCCAAAAAGAAGAATGGCTGGGCAGGGTTCCCCCCCCCTTTTTTGAAAAATGGGGTAAGCTGTTAAGTCTGTTTGTAAGACAGAAGAATGGTGGACTGGAGCTTTCCGTGTTTTGCAAAATAAATGCAGTCTCTGATTCAATTTAATGCTCAAGTTTTGCAAATCTCATCAAGATCCAGGAGCCAGATAACATGGCAACCCATTGCAGCTTCACTGCATATTCAGTTTCTTTAGAGAGGGTCAATCGTTTGAGCCACAAAGACATAATTGTTGTGATTTTTTATTTTTTAAATGTTCAGCCAGAGCAGGGCAGAGACACGATAACATTTTGAGCCCTTTGCTGGAAGTTGGGATTTTTTTTTTTAAGGACAAACCAGAGGTGTCAAGGTTCCCCTTCATATTGTCAACAAAAGTTGTATGGCTGAAAATTGGATACAGCAGTGTTGGGTTGTGGGAAGGGGGTCACAAAAATGGGTTATGCTACATGTAGGCCCTATTTCGTCCTAAACTGAATCATTTAGAGTTTTAGGAAATACTATAAAGATATCATGATCAGCATTCCAACTATACGTAGTGATGAACTTGCAGACTTACTGAGAGCAATTTATGTTGGCTTTGAGATTTATTAGTAAATGTCAGTTTTCTCAGAAATTTTCCATTGGCTCTCCTATGAAGGGTGAGAAATACTGATGAATATCCGCATTTCCATGAGTGACCACAGCTCATATGAGCTCATGGAATAAGATGTACAAGCAGAGTTTTACCACAGGGCAGACTGCTATGATTGATGGCAAAAATGGATTTCTTATAAGTTACATTTCATTCTCCAGTGTATTTTAATCTTTGGAAATTCTCCAACAAACTTCAGAGCTGGTCAAATCTAATTAAACTTGTGTCATTTTCTTCATTTCAGTTACGACAGTCCCAGTCCTACTGCACAGATACAGAATGCCTTCAGGAATGTGAGTAATAGGAAGGCTAGAATAATTACTATTAACAGATGGTTACAAGTGAAACATGGTGGTTGAGGAACAAATATGTTACACTAACCAGTTTAGATAAGCCAAAATACATTTATCTTTTATCTGTCTTTTGTCCTGTCTCATGATTAAGCCAGGAATCCTGGCTTGTTAATTATGGTTAATCTGAACCGGAAAAATAGATCACCAGCTTGGTTCCAAGATAACACAACCTTTACCAGTTGATAATATAACTTTCCAGTTCAGATGAACATGAAAACTGTATAGTTCATTGGAAGTTTTAAGTTTAATTTTCATTGGCACGAAGTTCCTCACCAAATGGGAGCAGGAATGTTTGGGATATTTCTCTTAGAAGGGGGAGATGATGTGATTGTTCAGTTGGTCTACTGCAGTGTTGTCCAAACTTGGCCACTTTAAGAGGAGTGGACTTCAACTCCCAGAATTCTGGG